TTACTTGCAAATGTTATCACTCTCTCATTTGATCATTTGTCTCTAACTGGAAACACATCTCTTCCCAAATGCCTGTGCTTGAATATTTCCTGCGGCCTAAAGCCATTCAATCCAGGTATCTATTCCACTGAATAAAAGCATGATCACCTGATCATTTATGTTTAATGAGGCAGATTCATTTGAGTTGCTGCTTTCCCATCTGTATGATGCTACCTAGGGTTGTGTACACTATTAGTGACACATCAGGATCCACCAAAAACACATGAATTCTCAGCACTACGGGCAAGCTGCATTCAAATCCTATTGTCAATATCGGTCTGTTCTAGGCTAAATTATTCTAGAATAGGATAGTCGAGTTTAAGTCAGAAATCCTAACCACCACTGACTACCTGAGATCCAGTAATCAATTTTCACAGAATATGATGTGATTCAATGTACATCTGACCAGTGTTTTCCAGAATCCCAGTCTGTGAACATGAGAAGTTTGAACTGTGGTGTCCTGCCATTAGAGTCCAGTCATCCCTGGGCCCATCTATCCATTATGTCCTTCTCTACATATATCTTGAGGTTCTATAAGTCTTATGAATGCTAAAAATCAGCCTTCTCTAGTCTAATGTTCTTTCACTGTCACATAGGATGAAATTCGCTCCCTCCCTCCTCTCTCTCAAACAAATCTCGCCATCAAAGTTTATTTCTCAAGAGAGGACGCATCAGCAGTGAGACCTGGGCTCCTGTCCTGCTTGGTATGGACCCCAGTGCCTAAATGTGTATCTCTGACCCAGAATTCTTTTAAAGAGAATCCCCCTCACCCCCACTGATTCAGTTTTTGTTTTGCTTCTGATTCAGGGAATCATTTCATGCTGATACATAAATTAAAACACCAGTATGTGATTAGGGAGGAGTGAGTATATAGGATGAAACAAGAACAGGCCTGGGGTGAGCCAAATAAGAAGAAACAAGAACAGGTCTGAACTTTTGCCTAAAACATTAATCTCATAGGGAACCTGGCTTGAAATTTGCATAGAGTAGTGGGTGGAGAAAACAAAGAGGAAAATTATGGTGAACAGGTTTTAACAAGTGAAGGCAAAAGGCTGGTATTAACAGTTACTGAGACAAACACAGCAAAGGACTTTGAACAATCCAACATTTTTAGCTTTCTATGACAGTTTCATGGATTTGGACAATGAAATAAAATGTTTTCCTAGCATATGCTAGAGTTAGGGACAGGAAGGGATAACCCTGAATGCATTGTTAATATAAGAACCATAGGAACAGAGGATTTCTTCTGTCAGAACTGAGCATTGGTACATTAAATCCAGGATCATGCTTCCAGCAGTAGTTAATAGCTGAAATTTACCTGAGGAATGGGAGGTTCTGTGGCCTGGGTTACACAGGAGGTCAGACTAGTATCATAATGGTCCCTTCTGGTCTTAATTTATGACCCCATGACACTGTGAATTCCCATAATACTCTTAGCCAACTGGGCAATGGTTATATCTGGGGGGGAAACCTTGCCTGAGCCGCCATCACACTTAACTGCCAAATAGATCACACTTCACCCAGTATTCAACGTTTGCTCTTCACAAGAGCCAGCAGTCGTGGGAGATCTGCACTAGAGTAGCTGTGCCCTGGAAAGGGTTAGACAGCAAAGTAGGAAACATGCGGGTGCCCTATCTATTTGCATAACATTGTCAATGCAGCTTGAGAGAACATCAGTCCCAGTGCAACCTGCACAGCACAATGGGGATGTGGCATTTTTAGAAGACAGTGGACCACTCTCAGCTTCTCTCCCAGGTTCTATTGGTGATTATTCATAGATTCCGAGGCCGGAAGGGACCATTGTGATCATCTAGCCAGACCTCCTGTATCACACAAACCCCAGAACTTCTCCAAAATCTTTTAGATCATCCTAGCAGACCTTTTAGAAGAGCATCCAATCTTGATTTTTAAAAACTGTCAATGATGGAAAATCGACCGTGATCCTGGGAAATTTTTATCCAATGGTTAATTACTCTGACTGTTAAAAATGTGTGTCTTATTTCGAATCTGAATTTGTCTAGCTTCAACTGCCAGTAGTGGGGGACAACTTCTTGGAAACAGAACTGGTTCCAAACAATTGGAACAGAGGATTTGTCACTAATTGGAATGGGGGGAGGGGAGGAAGAAATCCTTCTCTTCCTCTTCTTGACAAACTCTATAGCTAATTGAAAAACAGGACAAATGTTTTGTGCCCCCCCCACCCCCCATAAAAAAAATTTGTGAAAAAATTCATTCCGTGTTTTCACAGAAAATCAAAATTCAGAAGCTTCACCAGCTTTATTTAATGTGGCTGCTGCTCCTGAGCTGCCTGGGGAAAATAGATGCCTCTGCTAACACAGAACTAGCAACGACCACTGTAAAAAATTTTGGAGGATATTTGAAATGACCAGAATATAAAGAACAAATGAGAGACAACTCCTAACATGGAGATTCTTAAAGAGCAATGATAGGCCCCCATTCAGGAAACACTTTGTTTAAATACATCCTTTATATGTAAAAAGAAAAGGAGTACTTGTGGCACCTTTGGCCATGTCTACACTACCCGCTGGATCAGTGGGTCGCGATTGATCTATAGGGGATCGATTTATCGTGTCTAGTGTAGACGCGATAAATCGATCCCCGATCGCTCTGCTGTCGACTCCGGAACTCCACCATGGTGAGAGGCAGAAGCGGAGTCAACGTGGGAGCAGCGGCCGTCGATCCCGCGCCGCGAGGACGTCAAGTAAGTGATTCTAAATCAATCTAAGATATGTTGACTTCAGCTACGCTATTCTCGTATCTTAGATCGATTCCCCACCCCCCGTGTAGACCAGGCCTTAGAGACTAACAAATTTATTTGAGCATAAGCTTTCGTGAGCTACAGCTCACTTCATCGGATGCTGTAGCTCATGAAAGCTTATGCTCAAATAAATTTGTTAGTCTCTAAGGTGCCACAAGTCCGCCTTTTCTTTTTGCGGATACAGACTAACACGGCTGCTTCTCTGAAACCTATCCTTTATCTGTGAAGCCCATAAATCATGTTTAACTTTAAGCCTCTGCATCAGTGTTTCCTGGATCAGGATTCTTTCCTGAATTAGCGGATGCAGAGTTGCAAACACTAGATCTGGTCAAAAAAATTCAAAATTTGAAATTTTGTTGAAAATTTTGAAATTGGGTGGGAGGCTAATCAAGGAAAATTTTCAACAGTCTTCTGATTTCTTCCCATTTTTCTTTTTTTTTTTGGACTGATTGTGGAGGTGGGTGGAATTATCTGAATTTTGACACTTTCCTTTATTTTTAAAATGCGAGGACCTATCCAATAAAATATTAAATTTTCCATCTCTTTCTGATCAGCTCTTGAGTCAGTCCCTCCAGTTTGTCCATTAGAGGGTCAAACAATAGAATCAAATATTATTTTCTTACAAATGGTCAGAGCATTATCCAGTCTTTTTATCTGAAGTAATTATGATGAGAGTCACAGGATTCAAAGTTTAAGATGACTGCCCCAGGTCAGAAATTCTTTCCCTCCTCCATGTGCAGTAGAGCACAGTTGACCATATCTATTATGTCTGCCTTAGATATGTACGGATGGGCAGGATATTCCCTGTAGTGTAATTCCCTTAACACGGCAAGGATTGGTTGCTGCTGGAGGCAACATACTGGATTTGATGGACAAGTGGTCTGATCCTGTGTGGCAAATCCTGAGTTCCTAGGAACAGCCAGCTGACAGGAGATGCAGTCAGAGGGGTTAAGTAGCTGGAAGGAGCCAGTCAACCAATTTTAATTCCAGCCAGCGTCCAGGTGGTGCCCTCGGATTGCAGCTCAAAAGGATCCCACTCCTTTTTAGGAGCCATATTCATCGCTTGTTCAAGCCAACCGGTGTGTTTACGCTGACTCCAATGGGCTTTGGATCAGGCCAAAGGGAGTGCATCAGACGGCAGTGCTTGCTTACTGGAAGAACATCAGAGATGTGTGGTCAGGACAGTAGCTAGGTGAGGGCAGAGCTGAAACTCTGAAGGTTTTTAAAAGGTAAGTAATTGGGGTGGGCTGAATGGGCTAGTTTATACTGCCCGATAGGAAGAACATACAGGTTACGTACATACTGAAGCCAGGACACATTTAACCCTCAGTCACAAACCTGAGGTTCAAGGGAAGAATAGAGAGAACAAAAAAGATGCCCTCGAAATATACTAAAGGGGGTGGTCTGTAGATTATTGATAGCTTTGGGTGAGAAAAAGGGATGAAGGTGAGGGGGCTTTGTCCCCAGCTGGATGAAACACAAGCATCACACAAGAGAACAGATTATCTCTCCAAACACACATGCACCCGAGACACACAATCCCCTTTTATCAAATCCCAAGAAGAAAGACGAGTCTTCTCTTTTCTCTCTCCTTTTCAAGGCGTCAGGCTGGAGCTCAGCTCAGACTTTTCTTCTTTCCCCCCTCCACACAGCTTTTGCGTTTGCAGCAGCTCAGAGACATTAGTTAATTAATGCAAGGTTGCAGTTACATGGGCCTCCACCTCAGCTGGTGTAAACTGGCATAAACCAAGTGAAGTTTGGCTGATTTACACCAAATGAGGGGGCTGTGATGTGTAAGAAGCATCTTTGGAACTGGAATCCTGCTTGCCACCCTCCTGCTCTTACTGGATTTTATTTCACAGCATTAAAAAGAGGGGGAAAGACTAAAAACTCTGATAATATACTTTGCTGATGCTGTAAGGAAAATATTCTCCTCTGAGTCACTTGCCTTGAGCTCACTTTTTTTTTTTTTTCCTCATGGGTTTCCTTCTTTAGCCATAAACTGCATGCAAATACCTTTGTGTGTGGTGTGTTTCAGTTTGACAAGCTAACCCACGCTCCAAAGGGACTCGGGAGGCTGTTCCTTTAATAAGCCAACTGGAAAAAAAAAAGTGGAAAGCTTGCCTTGAGGCATCCCATTACAGTGGAATGAGACAAGGATCAGGGCTTCTAGCTCAGCTATAAAAACCAGGCAGAAGCTGGCTGCTCTGACCATAGTTTGCCTTACTGTCAAACATCTCTCTCTCTCTCTCTCTCTCTCTCTCTCTCTCTCTCTCTCTCTCTCAAACACACACAGACTATAAGACAAGACAACTTTTTCTCAGTTTTGACAGGACAGCAACAAAGTGGAAAGCCGGTTGCTGATTTTTACATCCTATTTATTTCATGGAGGCTGCTTGTGGTGGGATCTAATTCATATCAAAGCTTGTAAGGTAAGTCTGCTTCATCACAAATTGCTAAATCTAAAAACCCCCTAAACAAGAACAGCGACAAAAACTCTCCGGAGCTTTTTCTTTTTTTAAGCTTGCAATAATAGACTGCCCTAGTGAACTTTACAGTCACTGCTTTTATTCAGTCTGAGCTGCCAGAGGATCTCATCTGGGAACAGTTTTTCATGAAGTGTGCATGCGTTCAGTCTGTTTTTATTTTCTGAGGTCTGATATAATCAGATGAGTGTCTCAGTGGCATTGGCCTGAACAAATGAATGAACCAATCAATGAATGAATGAGTGTGGGGATTGCTGAGCTCTAGATGTGGGGAAATCCAGATGAAATGTGGATGAGAAGGTGGGTACAAAATGAATGTCTGGGTGGAGTGGAATTCTTGAGGTTCACTTTGCTACTCAAGTAACTAAAGAAGGTGGCCCCCTATCAGATCAAGCCCACTTCTAATTCTTAGGCACTTCAAATAATTCTCATCACTAGACTGTTAGGTATGAATTGAAAAGAGTTGGAAGGTTTTAATTTTTAATTGGCCACTTCCCTTGCGCTAAAGCTTTTTTTTTTTCCCCTCACCTTTTTTCCCCGCACTGGGCTCCATTTTCTTCCACAAGTATAGTGACATCTGACTCTGTATTGGGGGACTAAAGACAAAGGCACACACAGCTGGTATTTTATTACTAAGTATTTAAATGGCAGGACAAGAGGACTCCAGGGTAGAGGGTTGAAATTCTGCCATCATAATAGGTAAAAACGAGCCACTTTCTGTACTAACGAGAGTTACTTTCTCATGATTAGCCAATTATTTCCCTGTGCATTACAATTTTTGGCATTACTAGTGATCCTATTGGCTTAAATTGCTTCAGCTGATAGAGAAGACTGTAATCCTCGGCTTTGTTTAATGGTTAAGTCCTACTTCAGAACTTTCTGTAGTTACATCATTTTTAAGTGTTCTCCCTTTGTGTTTTACAACTTAATATCTGGTTAATGAGAAGAACTGGGTTTGGGCTAGTATTTTCACCTTTACAAAACTTTCGTTGCACTGGGCAGATAAAATGTTATGTTTATGCTGTCTGGCATAAATGGAAAACCACGAAATGTCTCTAGTATACAGTAGAGACACCCATAGTCCAGAGGCACAAGACAGGTATTCTTTACCAATACTTCATTTATACAGAAGCTGGAACAAAAGGCAGTACACTGCAGTTATTCAGTGACTAGGGCAGAAAGTCTGATTAGTATCTTGTTTTCCCAACAGTTCATTTAGCAAATGTCTTCCTTTAGTGAATGTTCATTTTCAAACTTCCCCTCCATATGCTGGAATAAAGTAGCAGAGAGGAAAACTTACAACTACACACATTCAATTAGTTAGAAAACATGGTCTATCTAACATGTATCAGAGTGCCTGTATGTGCCCTGAAATTCTTTAAAACAAGAGCCTGTAAATGGTATGTACTGTTTGATGACTTAGCAAGTATTAACTCTTTTATAACAGAGAGCTAGAGAGAGACCTAGATATGGTATGGGAGTTTTCTCTTTTGTGTCTTTTTTCATTTTACATTTCTAAGCAATAAATCTGAAAAATTGGATTGTTTTTTATCAAATCAACATGCGCAATTAAAATCAAGCTGAACCAGTAATGCCACTGGGTTTTCACACCAGTTATTGGGGAGTTCATGCTCAGCCTCATGCTGCAGGTGTTCCCCCTCTCCACTATCAGCCCAGCAAAGAGTTTGCATCTTAATGAACGTGGAGATTAGCAGCTGTAAAACAGCTGAGTAAAAAGGGACTAGTCAAAAGACTCCATCCTGCCCACACCCCCACTGGCCCCATTGCACTCATTGTCTGCAACAAATTACTATTCATGTGCCAGATTTTCTCTTCATTAATGTCATTCTATGTCTCCTTTCATCCCAGAGAAGAGGCTTTTCTAGTTACTTTTCTAGTATTGATGCTATCCGTGCCCTTGGAGGAGCCCTATGATCCACAGAAAAGCATGCATCTTGCAGATTAGAGTGCTGAGGCTTGTCTGACAGCAAAGCTGGTGTCACATAGCAAGAGGTGTCAGACAGTACATATTGCTGAACCAGCCCCAATAAAGGGGGACCTAAAAAAACCCCCGCCCTTCCATTGAATTAGTGCTGCTGGGTGCCCCATAAAATTTGACTCCGCAGCACTTCCCAAAGTTACTGTAACTCTGGCCAGACTGCATAACTTTTATAGGGAAATCCCTTCTTTTGCTAGCCTCGCCACGCTCGGGATAGACTGTCTGCCCTCCCTCTCCCCCAGAATAATTGCAATTACTCTTAACTATCATGTTACCAGCCTGGAATTTCAAAAGGTGTTTGGAGTTGGATAGTGGTGGCTTATTGATCATAAACCTGCCGTTTATAAAATCCCTATTGCCGTTTATAAAATCCCTATAATACACTAAAGGACTCTTTCATAGGTGCAGATGTCCTGGGATGCTTTACCAAGACTGTCAAAGCTCTCTTGATTAAAGATATTCTTTCACTTAGGGATAAGCAAGACCAGATTAGATAGCTGCACAGTCTATATTTCTCTGGGTAGGTTCCATACTCTCCTTCCTTCTCTGCTGTCAAAATACAGAACTGAAAATGGGTTTGGTTGCGAGTCTAAAGTTTAGCAGCTTCATAACCTCAAGGGGTATCATCATGTGAAATAATGGCCACCCACTTACAGCTGTTTGCTACTCTTCTGATAATACACATCTCATCTAATGTTTGCCTAGGCTTGTATGACTTTGACATGTAATGCATTTTGGATGCAAAGCCATCATGGAAAATGCTAAGTATTAATAATTTGGTTTTTTGGATTGCATGAATTGACAATGGAGAATGAGAATTTATGCCAGTCCTCTGGTGAACCTCACATTATATAACCTCACCCTTGCAGAGCTGCTAAGTTGACATAAAGAAAAGGAGTACTTGTGGCACCTTAGAGACTAACCAATTTATTTGAGCATGAGCTTTCGTGAGCTACAGCTCACTTCATCGGATGAAGTGAGCTGTAGCTCACGAAAGCTCATGCTCAGATAAATTGGTTAGTCTCTAAGGTGCCACAAGTACTCCTTTTCTTTTTGCAAAGACAGACTAACACGGCTGTTACTCTGTAAGTTGACATAGTGAGTTAACTTTAATTAGAGTATAATAAACCTCTTACTGCATAAGATCTGGGTTCAGATTTGAACTTGGACACAAGTGAAAAAGAGTTGGGTGGTCTCTGCGTAGTTACCAACTAGCCATTTGTCTACCTTACAAACTCCACACATAATTAAATATAAGAGACACAGGGAGGTTGAAAATTACTCCAGTTTGAAGTCTGGGACTTGATATATTCAGCCCTGGACACATGCCATAAAGTCATTGCTAGGTAAAGGGCCAATGACAGTTTTAAGGTCCAATATCTCATAAACCTCCAGAGTTAGAAATGCATGATTTATACTGCTGGAAAGTTAAGACTTTCATCTTTCCAATGGTAGAAAGCATTTGTTTTGAACTCTAGCAGGCTGTAAGACATTGGTCTGTAAAAATATGTTCTAATTTACCATCTTGTTTTCCCCCCACCTAACTTAACTTTACCTAACTTAAATTCTTAAATGGCTTTTTTTTCCAAGCAGCATAGTCTCAGGAATTGAGACTTTCATTTAAAAAAAAACAATTTATAAAATATATGTCTGAAAATATCATAAAGCATTAATACCTCATCCTGGCAGTTTTCAAGATAATAGCTGCAATATGATCACAGAAAGCATGTTACAACTGAAGGGGGAGAAGCTAACAAAGATGGGAATCAGAATGACATGATTTTACGGACCAGTCTCACATGATCTTCCAGGGGTAGAAATATTATGGCAGACAATACAAATCATTTTAGGATCGGTAAAGTTTGGTCCTAGATTTGTGCCTGAAAATACACATGAGTCCCTGGGCCAAGGAATGGAAGAACAGGGGACAGTTGCAGGTCAATACTGAGCTATGAGACTTACTCTCATTGGTAAAGTGCTTTGAGATCTATGGATGGAAAGGACTTCCAAGGGCCTGATCCAAAGTCCATTGAAATCAACTATCATGACCAGTAATGCTTGAACAATTTTTATAGTGGGGGTGCTGAAGGCAGAAACCATGTATTTGGGTTGTTATTACTACTTCAAGCCTGGGAGTGCTGCAGCACCCCTAGTTCCAGCACCTCTGACCATTGCCTTCAGTGGATTTTGGATCAGACCTCTTAAGCTGTTGTTGTTATGACCACATTAGTTGTGCTAGGTGCTGTATATACACTTAGAGACAGTCCCTGTCCCCAGAACCTTACAAATAGACAAGATAAAAAGATTATTACTGATGGCTGTAAAAGCTCTTTGTGTGATTCAAAGGGAAGAAATGAAATGACAGTTCTTTAAAGAAGAAAAATGTCAGAAAGAAGCAAAATGAACAATTCTCAGATACCTTGTTGAGCTATTTCAGTTTCCACTGGGCTGTGGGGTGTGTACCATGCCTGTAGATGGCCCCGCTATTTACTTGTGCATTCCCCACTCCAGCCAATCCAAGTTGAAGTTAAATGCCTTCTGCATGTGGGGAAAGTTTAAAAACTGGGCATTCTTCCAGTAAATAAAATCCCCCAAATTGTGATGGAACTAAGCTGCACAAAATGGTTGGGACAGGAATGGGAGAGGATTCTTTGGGACAAGGGATACCTGTGGGCCTAGCCAGACGTTTGGATGCATGACGAAGGAATATTATGAAGTCCATAGTGCAGTGCAGAAAAAAACGTTACCTATGGTCTTTTTCTAGCCTTTGTAAATAGGAGAAAAGCTGTTACAACGTAAATGTGATTTAGATTATATATCTTTCATCATACTTAGATGAGAAAAAAATATCTTATTAGGATTTCTCTCTGTGTCATTCACACACCCCAAATTCCATTGCTAGTACACACAGCAATATAGGGCCATATCCTCAGCTGGTTAAAATCAA